TTTTTGAAGAGACGCTTTAACACAGTTTTGATACTTGCCCAGAACACTGGCCCACTTTTTACCCAGGACGAGCTCCAGTATCGGCCTGTGTATGGATGACCTGTCTACCTCATCTTTTAACTTGCCTGAATTGTCTCCACTAAACTCACAAAGATCATTTACAAGCTACAGAAACAATGTACACAGCAAAGAGTAATAAAAGTACATAAAACACTCAATGTCATAATTTTATGTTGTATACCATAGATCACCCTTCATACAAACAAGTCAGGCAGGATACATTGGTGACATGAGGGATCAGTTTATCTGATCCTCGTGTCAGCTTGTTGATCCTGCCTTTCGTGCATGGTTCAGCTTATTCTCAGAGATCATTTCCATAAAGCAGGTTAATCTATATGTACACAGAATCAAAGTGACAACACTGGCAATCAGTGCCAATCATTATAATCCCCTATATTACTAGCTATAAACTGTACTGCAAGCAACCTGTACAAACAGCCTCCGGAATATCTCCAAATTAAGATAAGAATGAATGACCCCATTTTCTCTGTTTGATTGACTTGTGAACATGTGTCTCATGACAAGATAATTACATGTTACCAGCTTTCCAGAACAGTTATTTGCATTAGTATTATCTTGTAAAATGTGGTTGGATTTGCTTCATTTCACTCCATTTCCTACGCACTGACATGAATGGTGCCCGGCACTTTATATAGGCAGCCATATGGGAATTCATTCACAAAGATGGATTAACACCTACATTGATGTAAATGTGAAATTCCAGGTTTGGAGGTATGTTGAAGAAATAAAAGGAAATGCTAGCTTCTCTCTGAATATGTACATTCAACTCTCATCAAAGGTCTTAAAAGGAGAACCATGGGGAAGTGTTCTTCCCCATAGTTCTCCTAAGGGTCACGGGAGGACATAAACTAGCGTCCTCCCATGACCCAAAGCTCAGTATATCGCGAGCTACAGCTCGCGGTAAACCGAGACCACTGCACCCAGGACGGATCTTGACATTATTGTTGAGATCCACTGCTGGCTCTGCCTATCTAGAGGCAGAGCCAGCTGTACCCGCCCCCTCCCCGTTCGTTCCTCCAGTCAGCGCTGGAGGATCGGAGCGGGGGAAATCCCTGCAGGGAGCCGTGAGTGACAGTCACGGCTCTCTGCAGGGACATGATCGAGAAGCGAGTGAGCGACGGTTAGGACCAGCCAACCTCGTGAGAAGCTGTAGAAGAAGGGGTCTCAAACCCAATCCGCTCGGGGGGCCAGTGGACAATTATTTTTGCAAAATGTAATTCTTTCAAAATAATGCATAACTATATTTAGAACCAGTGTTAATGTCTGCGTGTGTTTATGATGTCAGTATTGGTGTTTGTGATGGCTTCCTTTTAAGCAATGTCAGTATTCTTTGTGATGGTTTGTGTGCAGTCAGGATTTCAGTGAGTGATGTCGGTTTGTGTGTTAATGTTTGTGTGTGCCATATCAGTATGTAAAAACATGTGTATGTGTGTAGTGTTAGTATATGTGTCCCCACCCTCACCCCCCCAGGTTCTAATCATAGAGGACCAACAGAGTCACACATGCGCGCGCGCACACACAATTAAGCCTTGTAAGTTTAGCTGTGATTAGGGATTCCTGCATCAGGAGTCAACAGTTTGCGTTTTCCTGCAGCAGGAATCACTAATCTGGCATTTACAAGTGGCAGCTGTCACCCATTCAAGTTAAGGATCAGGTGACAGCCGTTGCATGTAAATGCCTGCACACTGCATGTAAATGGTATGTGGTATGATTACATGCAGTTAGAAAACAAATCACTCTCCTTGGATGCATGATCATATAAGCACATAACTACAGTACACCTGAATGTACTCTGTACACTGTACAGGACATTGCAAAGGCCGATACCAAATCAAATTGTTAGTTAAAACAATACCCCACAATGATCTTTTATGAAGACATACCTGCATGACGTAGTGTTTTTTTTACCTGCCCGGGATTCAGATTTAAATGACTGTGTTAAGGTTTTTGATGTTTAAAAGTGACCACCACTGAGCTGACACAGGAAGATACAGCAGTATTATGTTCAAAAACTCATTTCAAAGGCAGAGTTCCCTTTATCTGATGTAATAATAGCTGCAATTACACCAACTACAGAAATAGCTCAAAAGAGATTAAACTGATTAAAAGATTTATGAGGAACATTCTTTTGGACCATTTAAAACGACAGGCTGGCCAATTTTCCTAAATCCAATTTATTAGATACTCAGCTGAAGAGTTCAGAGCCACTCCTTAGATGTCCTGTAAATACTATCATGTTAAAGTCCCAGCGTATACTCTCCGGTTATAACATCAGCCTTGTAATAGGAATACATACTAGAGTTGTTTTTGTGATGAAAGCTTAAGAATTAAAAAAATCCCTTTTATGTAGTGAGAGCTGCCTGCCCATCACTTTCAACTTCCTGGATTCCCAGTGTGCTTTGCATCTCTTTCCCTGCTGCTTGATGTGAAGCAATCTCCATTTCGCAAGACTACATATCCCACCATGCATTGCTTACAGCAAGCAATAATGTTATATTTTTCAGACACTGAGATGCAATTCAGAAGCTCGGCTCTGTGAAAGTTGTGACACAAGGAAGTGCATATTCACAGGGCTGAATGAAATTGCCTAGGCCTGTGGGTTGAGTATCAGAGTCATTGGTGATTTTCTGGGAGCATATAGGTGTGAAATACATGATTGATAATTCCAATGTTAAGCTTATTACCATGTCACCCTATATGACTGTTGGTTTATAAAGTGACATGAATTCTACAGGAAAAGTAGAGCGTAGTTAACTCTACCAAGGCCCTTCATTCATTCTAATTTGCAGCACTTTGATCTTAAAATCTCACTAAAAATCACCTTAGCATGCAGCTCTGCATTGCGATATGAAATCATCTTACATGCATTAGTTAAACATTTTTCTTTTCTTTACAACTATTGTTTTGCCACTTCCTGGTCCTCTTGGGCACAAACTATGTAATAGTGCCCAAAAGATGCATCCTGAGAAGCACTGCTGGGAAATCTCATCTGTAATTTCTTTTTTTGTGTGTAAAATATAGTGTTTATTGAGTTTTCCACATACAAAAAAACTTAAACAACATTCAAGAGCAACTTCAGGTGAGCATCCCTGAGGATAATAGCACAGTTGCAAAATAATAACACCCGCATCCGCAGCAAAAAAAAAAAATGGCATTGCGCCCAGATTCGGCCCGCACCGTAACCCAGTGACCCGTCCCCGCCACGGGGGTTCAGGCTGCCAAAGT